TATTTGTTTTACAGCATAGATATTTGTAAAGGGATAATGCATTTCATAGTCTGTATATTACTTGTACAAAATCATGGGTATACACCTTACATGTATCTTGACTGATCTTCTTTGTCCCAGATTTGAGATGAGTTAACAGAGTACGATCCTTTAAAAAGTGAACAATATTTAATTATAAACCAGACAGAAAAACAGACCCATGGGGTTTAACTGGAGTTATCTAGGCCAGAAAAAGATGGTTTATTAGTTGGGCCTCTTTTGAACTAGCTGGAGGTATGCTGCAATTGATCATGATGCACTGATAAAACACAAGATGGGTAATTAAGGATGGGGATCAATTATGACAGCCTGAATGGAATTCCCACATGGATCCTAAAATAAGTCTCCCATACAAAAATAACACATGATTTTAGGTTGTTTTAGTTGCATTAAGGCATTCACTATAAGATACACAGCATGGAAATGAGTACTGAACATGGAGATCAATCCCGACCTGTTAGAAATTGAAAGTTGATTGACTATCAAAAGCAGTGGTAAATAATCTGAACATATTGATGATCTATTTGATGATGTTTTGCCAGAGTATGAGTAACTCTATAAATTCTTTACAATCCAATTACAACTCACTATTTATAGACATGATTGGTCAAGTGTACCTCAGGGTATTAAGGGTATAAAACATGTTACCAAGCCTGGGGATAGCAATGAGTATGAGCCTGGGGATAGCAATGAATATGAGCCTGGGGATAGCAATGAATATGAGCCTGGGGATAGCAATGAATATGAGCCTGGGGATAGCAATGAATATGAGCCTGGGGATAGCAATCAATTTGAGCCTGGGGATAGCAATCAATTTGAGCCTGGGGATAGCAATCAATATGAGCCTGGGGATAGCAATCAATTTGAGCCTGGGGATAGCAATCAATATGAGCCTGGGGATAGCAATCAATATGAGCCTGGGGATAGCAATCAATATGAGCCTGGGGATAGCAATCAATATGAGCCTGGGGATAGCAATCAATATGAGCCTGGGGATAGCAATCAATATGAGCCTGGGGATAGCAATGCATATGAGCCTGGGGATAGCAATGAATATGAGCCTGGGGATAACAGACTTAGTGGTAGCAAGACTGGGGATTACAGACTTGGGGTTAGCATGCCTGGGGATGCCAAACTTTGGGTTAGCAAGCATGGGGATAACATACTTTGGGCTAGCTAGTCTGGAGATAGCAGACTTGGGATTACCAAGCCTGGAGATAGCAGAGCAGACTTGGGGTAAGCATATCTGGAGATAACAGACTTGGGGTTGGAAGCCTGGGGATAACAGACTTAGAGACCAAGACTGGGGAAAACAGGCTTGGTGTTAACAAGCTTGTGGATAACATACTTGGGGTTGGCAGGCCTGGGGATAACAAACTTGGGGTTGGAAGGCCTGGAGATAACAAACTTAGGGGTATGATGATGGGGCTATATATATTAGCATACTCAACTGTATCATCAACTCAGTGCGGATCCTAAAATGCTCCTGGTATGTTAACCTCTTGTTAGTACTCTTGAGATTTTTGAGTTAGCAAACCTGGATGATTTGATTTCCATTGTTGCAAATTTGTACCTTGAAACACAGGATGTAGATGAAGGTCCCTTTTAGAGAGATGTGTCAAATTAAATTACAAACCTTGGTTATCAGTTTATCAAGCCATCACATTGTACAATGGAAATAAAGTAAAGTATGATTTTGAAGCAAAACAAACATGCACTCGTAACATATTTCCAAGTATTATTATATTGCTTCTAGCTTTTTGGCACTTAATATGTGCAAGTTATCTCTAATCAGGGTGATTTGTTGAGTATGGAAGCTAGAGATAGAAGAGTTTAAGGTGATGGGTTTAACGACTGGAGAGAATGGACCATCAGCTTATTGTATGCCAAGTAGCCATTCAATTAGCATATTCATTTTTTACAATCTGTCATCCTTGTCTTAGATAGAAAATAGTTTAGCCAATTTTACCAGTCAGCTTACGTGGGAGAATGTGCCATTTATGGAGATACGGCTCGAAGGTTGTCAACTGACAAGCTTAGAATTAATAGAGAAAATATAAGAAATGGTTCATGTAACAAGGTCATATAACATATTTAATATGGTTTAATATAATATGGTCATAACATTTTATATGGTTCATATGAAAAACAAACCCCAACTATCCCAAATCATAATCCAACGTAAAAAGAAACTGTGTTTAACACCTAACACATTTAATATGGTTTATGTGATATGACCATTCATATAATATGGTTTATGTTATTTGGTTGGGTTCATCTAAAATGGTCCATGTAACATAGTCCTGTACCATATATAACTATGGTCTATGTAATGTAGACTGTACTCTGTGTTTACCTTGAAAAGAGGCAGTAACCTCTGGGGTCTCTGGTACTCAGTTTCTTATCTCATTGACAATGCACTTAGTTCCTTCACAATGTGTCATATACATTCATCAGAGTATATATTTTATATCCTTTATTCGAATTAGCCTATAATCCTACCCTGGATTCTGATTATTGCACGTTAGGCAAGTCATAGCATCCCATGTAAAATAACATTATCTTAAAAGGTTCTATGTATGTCAGTGTCTTGAAATGATGCATTCTGGGATAGGATTCTTTCCTTCTTTGTTATATAATCGAATTTTTAAATGATGAATGGAAAAAGACACATGTTATTCATAGTTAAGGAGTTTTAGTGTTCATAAAATGTAGTCAAGGATAAATGTAACAGATATAGATGTCTAAATGATCTTGGAGATTTACAGTTTAGCAAGTGCAGCTTCAAAACTGAAAAACAATGAGTTTCCTTTGATCTTTGATAATACTTTGATTTCAACAAATTTGAAAGTTAAAGAAATGATATATTTTTTTGACAAAGATTACAATTTCCTCAAAACAATGGTAAATTGGAGGTTATGTCTGCAAGTTGATATAAATCTGATTAGAATCAGATCAGATAGCTTGTTTGGTTAATTTGCAATAGGATTTAGGTAAATATGGTCACCTCCTGAATTGCTTAGATATCTACAGAAATCTTTGTTATAAATGAATTTTGCAAATTAGAATATGTTATTACTTTAGCCTGTGCACATAACATACATGATGCTTCTTGTATATTATCAGTATGTTTTTTGATAAATATATTAATTTTCCAACATTTCTCTATAATTGAAACTTTCTTCTCAGGTGTCAAATTTAAAAAAGTTTCTAATCTTGAACAAATATTTGGTAATGTTGACAGAAAACTACTTTTCTAATAGCCTAGATCAGATTTTTGTGAGATTCTCATTAAGGAAGAAGTCGGACAGCAAAAGACAAAGGAAAAATTGGTCATTCACCTCAATCCACGACAACTGAAACACCCCATTCTTAAAATTATTTTAGAAAGCAGATGCCTAAATAATATTTGATATGAGGAAATTTTAGTAGAGGGCTAAAGCTATTGGAAGCTCTAATTTTGCTCTATATAGCCATTAAATGTGATATATCTAAACGCACCCATTTCCATCATTCAAAGATCATAATAGGCTCTCCAGAGATTCCCATTGGTAAATGTATCTTAATAATAGCTGAATAAAAGCATTGTAGGCTTGTATCTCTCGCAGTAATCACCATGTTCAAGGTTTGTTAGGCGTAAATATCAGGTCAACAGATTAAATAAATAGTTCCCAATTCAAATTTATCTCAATTGTACAAACTGTTCTTTTGTCTTCAATTCCGGTTCAGTTGTGAGTTAATCCAGCCTTAGACGTACAGCATCAGTAAGAAATAGACAGAGGAATTTATCTCCATGGTCAATCCTTTTTCATATACATGTACAGTGTATAAAGTTTTACGAGTACTCAGGTTTGTTTTTATGAAGTTTTTCTATATCTCATCCTTTGCATCCTCTTTGCAGCCTCTGCATCTCTTCCTTTGTGTTCTCTTTTCAACCCCTACATCTCTTCTTGCATTCTCTTTTCACCCCTGCATTTCCTTTGCATTGACTTTGCACCCCTTGCAACTCCTCTTTTTGCATTCTCTTTGTACCCCTGTATTTCCTTTGTATTGACTTTGCACCCCTTGCATCTCCTCTTTTTGCATTCCCTTTGCACCTCTGCATATCATTTGTATTGACTTTGTACCCCTTGCATCTCCTCTTTTTGCATTTTCTTTGCACCCCTGCACATCCTTTGTATTGACTTTGCACCCCTTGCAACTCCTCTTTTTTCATTCTCTTTGCACTCCTGCATATCCTTTGTATTGACTTTGCACCCCTTGCATCTCCTCTTTTTGCATTTTCTTTGCACCCCTTCATATCCTTTGTATTGACTTTGCACCCCTTGCATCTCCTCTTTTTTCATTCTCTTTGCACTCCTGCTTATCCTTTGTATTGACTTTGCACCCCTTGTATGTCCTCTTTTTGCATTCCTTTTGCACCCCTGTATTTCCTTTGTATTGACTTTGCACCCCTTGCATCTCCTCTTTTTGCATTCCCTTTGCTCCCCTGTATATCCTTTGTATTGACTTTGCACCCCTTGCATCTCCTCTTTTTGCATTTTCTTTGCACCCCTGCATATCCTTTGTATTGACTTTGCACCCCTTGCATCTCCTCTTTTTGCATTCCCTTTGCACATCTGCATATCCTTTGTATTGACTTTGCACCCCTTGCATCTCCTCTTTTTGCATTTTTATTGCACCCCTGCATATCCTTTGTACTGACTTTGCACCCCTTGCATCTCATCTTTACATTGCCTTTGCACCCCTGCATATCCTTTGTATTGACTTTGCACCCCTTGCATCTCCTCTTTTTGCATTCCCTTTGCACCCCTGTATTTCTTTTGTATTGACTTTGCACCCCTTGCATCTCCTCTTTTTGCATTCCCTTTTCACCCCTGCATATCCTTTGTACTGACTTTGCACCCCTTGCATCTCCTCTTTTTACATTGCCTTTGCACCCCTGCATATCCTTTGTATTAACTTTGCACCCCTTGCATCTCCTCTTTTTGCATTCCCTTTGCACCCATGCATATCCTTTGTACTGACTTTGCACCCCTTGCATCTCCTCTTTTTACATTGCCTTTGCACCCCTGCATATCCTCTGTATTGACTTTGCACCCCTTGCATCTCATCTTTTTGCATTCCCTTTGCACCCTCTGCATCTTCTTTTACATACCTAGCATCTTCTACATCTCCTTGCATTCCCTTTATATCTCCCAAATCTCCTTTTGCATTCCCTTTGCACCCCTTGTATCTATTTTGCATTGTCTTTGTACCTCTCCGAGTATTTCCCATTCCCCATGCATACTTATGTGATCATTCATCTGGAGTCAATAGCTGTTTGATTGCATTAAGACATGACCGGTGTCTTGACTTGGGTGAAATAGATTGGACAATTTGATATCAACAGGAATCATGATAGGGACTTGTGATTTTTTTGATATAGGGACTTAAGTGTTGACGTATTGTTATTGTCTTCAACTTTTTTTTGTGGATAGTGTTGTTGTTTGGTATTTGACAGTCAGTGATTGGTGTTTGGCAGCAGTGTTTGGTGGTTTGTGTTTGTTGGTCAGTGTCTGTAGCAAATGGCAGGTGGTGACATTTTTGCATGATAATGCCTCGTTTCTATAATATAGCTACATGATGATTCAAGAGAACAATTAGCTTATATACTTCTTTTTCTGTCTCAGTAAATAAAACACTATCACATAATTTGTTAACGATGGAAAAAATATCATAAAAACTGTTTGATCTGAATTTTTTTATAAAAATGATAGTCAATTGTACAATAATAATAGTAAAACATACAGTATACTCAATATACTATGAACAAAGGTTGCTTTTAATCGCAAAATCATTGCACAGATAACTACTTAAATATGCCATAAATAAATACAAAATACAATGGCCGTGTAGGAGCAGATCCTGTTTTCTGTCTAGGTCACATATTATATTTTACTACAAAGTGTTATTAACCATTTATAAGCCATACACCTGTAGGATAATGACAATGATATAATAAATATAATAAATGTTATATGGTATGGTTAAAGGTACATGTAACCCTTTTCGATATCATTCATTGGTCTCATTAGCATTGAGATTTTGGTGCTGCACCCACTTGAGATTTTGATGCTGCACCCACTTGAGATTTTGGTGCTGCGCCCTCTTGGGATTTTGGTGTGGCACCATCTTAAGATTTTGATGCTGCACCCACTTGAGATTCTGGTGCTGCGCCCTCTTGGGATTTTGGTGTGGCACCATCTTAAGATTTTGGTGCTGCACCCACTTGAGATTTTGGTGCTGCGCCCTCTTGGGATTTTGGTGTGGCACCATCTTGAGATTTTGGTGCTGCATTCACTTGAGATTTAGGTGCTGCACCCTCTTGGGATTTTGGTGCTGCATTCACTTGAGATTTTGGTACTGCACTCTCTTGGGATTTTGGTGCTGCACCCACTTGAGATTTTGGTGCTGCACCCTCTTGGGATTTTGGTGCTGCATTCACTTGAGATTTTGGTGGTCCACTCTCTTGGGATTTTGGTGCTGCATTCACCTGAGATTTTGGTGGTCCACTCTATTGGGATTTTGGTGCTGCACCCACTTGAGATTTTGGTGCTGCACCCATTTGAAAATAGGAAAAATCATAAAAATTCTTAATTGGCATGAACACTGCCTTTATTCTGTTGACATTTTGCTTTGCTTGATTTAAGATTATTTACTGGACTTACCTTCTATTCTGATTTACTGGACATGTACTTTATTGTTTGAAAAACAAGGTTGGCGTGCCATTCATCTATTGTCTATTTGGAACAAAATAAAAATGGATCAATATTGAATGTAATTGAGTGATCACAATGACCCCCTCTTTAAGACATGGTTAGAATGTTATATCCAACCGTCCAGTATATATAAGTCTTCTTAATAGCAAAGTGAATATTCCTTCAATCTGTTATATAGTTAGTTACAAATACATGTAATAAGGTAATAGATAGGAATAAAAAACATTAAAATGATAGAGAAAAAGATATTTACTTTTTGAATACATATTAATTTCTTGTTCTCTTTTGTATATTTTCATATTGCTGTTTTCGTGCTGTTTTGATGCTGTAACTGACATCACTCCTGACATCACTTACTCCTTATATGGATGGATCCTGTTTGTCACATCAGGTATGTATGATTGTGATGTCATAATACATTTCACACAATGACATAGCATCTTCAATTGTAGATGTCATATGGAACTGCTGTAAACTTACTGTGCATAATTGATAATAATAAAATGATAATATAAATGATACTCATATTTTAGCAGATCTTTAAGGAGGAAATCAAAGGTGAAAAAATATGTTAATGAAATTTTGTTGTGAAACATTTTTTGTTCATGTTGATATATTCTTTGGATATTAGTTTTATCTACTTGTGAATATCTACCAGCTTTGAGGTGGTCTATATCCCCTCTTGGATAACAATGATATCCTTCAATATCAAAAGACATCCTCTGTCGTTATTCCTCGCTTCAGGAAAAACAAAATTTGTATTTAGGAAATTGATGTTATGAAATGATTATTTGATAAAGTTCTACAGATGTTCTACATAAACCTTCTATATGACCAGCTAGAGTTTTGCTTTGTTAGGCAAGTAAATTATGTGGGGTAAGTTTAATGAATTGGACGTCAAATCGTTGTGGAGCTAGCCTGATAAATAGCTCTGAACTCTGCAGTACAGGGCTATATGTATCAATCATAGATGCTAGTTGTTGGGCCCTCATATACAGGAATATTACCTACATAAGCAGGAATACCAAATACATGGGTGGAAATATAAGCTTTGTGTGCAGGCAATGCTCCTGAAATGTGTCCCATTCAATCTCAACAAAAGCATGTAAACTCTCCGATGTTATAACGTATAATTATGTCATTATGGTTATAAAAAAGCTGTTTTCTGTAATAATGGGGGTCGATTTCTAAAAAAGCTGTTCGTAAAGTGATCCATCGCTTTTGTATGAAAAAGAGACCTTTGATACCACGACACTTAAAAATCAGTCATGTAAATCTTTTTCATGTTCATGTAATTGAAAAATTTTGTGCAGGAAAAATAATCCTTATTCTGGTTGGTCCAGGATTAGGGTCATTATAGTGCTGAAAATGTTAATCCCAATTGATAGATGGCAGACGTGTTGATATATCCCAATATCCTTATAATTATGTGACCTCAATTATATTGTCTATAGATCAAGCAAATCATGAAAATGTCATATAGGTCTGAGTTTTAAAATACAAATCACAAATGAAATAGCATGGAAATACTGGGAATATTTTAACAGGATTTAGTGCTTATTTGAAATTGTACAAATATCCAAGAAATTCAGAAATTTCATCAGAATGTTAGAGTAAAATAGAGAAATCAGCATGGAGAACCAATGACATTTAATCAAGTTTATGCAGTTAGTTTATGTAGCGATTATTGTACACAATTGAATACAGTCATGGGATTACTTGTACGTTAAGTTAACATGGTGTCAAATGAGAATTTATCGCCGATAATTCTTGCGTCTTTGTGGAATTTCTGAAAAAGTTGTTAATGGTCTTGTAATCATTTCCACGCTTGCAATATGATATTTTTCTTAACGTCTTTTCAAGTTTTTTTTTCATTCGTCCAGTTATTTGAATGAATACCAGGTTATCAACATGTGGATTTTAGCTCCATATAAATTGGTTTTAATTATGTGTCATGTCTATGTGTCTATTTATATGTATACATATATAATATGTCTGTAAATATAGTATATATACATGTAATCCCATGACTGTATTCGATTGTGTATATATCTGTATGTATGTAATAGAATCTTGCTGTGAGACTGTGATGTTTTGTCAAAAATAGAAGGGTATTAGTGACTATTATTAAACCTCCAAGTAGAACTAACACATTAAACAGCATACCAGTGGGCAGTGCCATTTTTAATATTTATTCTTCTGCGTTTAATTACATGTAATGTAGAAAACATGACATGGTTAGTCTAATTTTGTGTGAGAAAATATAGTAAATCTAATCTAGTGAGAGTTAGCAATTAGCTGGGCCCAGACAGTCTGAGTATTTATTTTATACTTTTTTTAATAACATTAAATCCCTGTATTGTCTTTTCAATTTATCCTCGCATTGATCACACCATCTCTTGAAAGCCCATGATTACACCTAAAACTTAGAGAATTTGAAGGCAGAATTTATGACAAGCAAAGTATGCCTTTGACTCTTAACTGCCTACAGCATCTTCAAATATATCCGCAGAGACAAAAATACATTTCTGCAAAAAGGGCATCAAGGCTTTATCGATTTGCACCACATAAAGGTGACAGGCAGTCTGTATGACATTAGGCTGCCTTAGCTTGATGTTCGTATATTATATATTGCCTTAAAAACCAAGGGCACTAAAAAGTATGGCAGAAATCGTTTCAACATAAGTCGTCTGATATTTTCTATTAGGCACATGGGACTGTATTTAAAAGTAAAAATGAAGTTTACTTTGATTTAAATGATACTAACCATGATTGAGTCAAGTAGTTAACTGTATTTTAGTGGGAAATTTGTATGTTAAACAGAGATTTTACATTATACCAAATTCAGTGATGTGCCTATACAGGATATTTTCTCAATTTGGTGCTAAATCATCATTCTATCTGTTTTTGGTTAAATTTTAGCAGGGTACAGATTTTCAATTTGGAGTTGGGGTTGTAATTTTCAGATTTCCACTGTGTGCTAAACCCTGTTGCTTTCAGATCACTGGTTTTACTCCTAAGTATTGCCCAATAGTACAACCCTCCATTTTTCTTATAGGCTAAACTCTTAAAAGAGATTACCCTTTATCCCCATTTCTAGCTTCACTATATTCCCTTTACTATCAGGAACAATCTATAATTTTTTTGATACTGATGAAATTTTATATTCAGTATTTGACATTGTTTCTTTACAAGATAATCATATTTTGGGATATTAGGGGTTTGTTTTTCTTATGACTGGTTATACTGTTGTAAAATGCTCTTTTCCTTTCTCTGTTTTTTAAAAATATTTTTATTCTTTTCTCTCTGGTATTTGTGCGTACTATTTATCATTATTAGGTAATAAATAGAAAATAAAGTGTCTTGATTTCTTGACTACATATTCTTATTAGATGTAAGCTGAAAAACTACATGTTCTTATTAGAGGTAGGTACAGTCAATTTCTTGCAGAGGGTATGCATCTAATTGACAGCTATTTTTCTCAGAAGTATTATGCGGTATTAGATAAATCAGCTAAGTTATAGATGTCATTGTAATGTGTTAATGGTATCCTTCTTAGAAACACGTATTTCGTAAAGGTTGAGAAAGTCTACCCTAAGTATATTATAAATGTACCTTGAAATTATAGATTATACC